TGCGATGTTTGTTTGACACAATAATACCACAATGTACTTTATACATAACTGGGCCTTGCAGACACGTTATTATGTGAATGTTCAGTGGACACAAAAATAGTTTAAATTAGTGTTCATAATTAAATTAGAAATTATATTCATTGAACAGAAACAGTCATAAATGTGGAGCAATGAAAATTACAATTCCTTTCGTGGACGTGCGGCATGCCTTGTCACTATGTTAACGTGATAGATCATGGGCATTACAAGATAGGCTGGTGTATGTTTCAGTACTGCAGAATATAAAAACCGTCTTTTCTAACTAATACCTGGAATTATATAATTTCTCACTTACACAAAAACATAAACAAAAAAAACGAGAATTTGTCTAAAATGATTCTGTGATTTTTATCAGTTTTTGTTTTCGGTGATGTTTTACCTTTATTTATACTTTAAAACCAATGTCTCACACTCTCCCTACCTGGTTTTATGGTATGATGTAACTTGGTGCGTCAATGACAAATTTAAAATCTGAAAGCCAGAAACCAGCATCGTGAGCCTGTTTCCTAAAGTTATGATTATGTTAAGTTATGTAGAACGAGCTATAGTTGTGTTAAGTTATGTAGAACGAGTTATAGTTGTGTTAAGTTATGTAGAACGAGCTATAGTTGTGTTAAGTTATGTAGAACGAGCTATAGTTGTGTTAAGTTATGTAGAACGGGTTATAGTTGTGTTAAGTTATGTTGGAAGAGTTATAGTTGTGTTAAGTTATGTAGGATGAGTTATAGTTGTGTTAAGAGTTTGGAAAGCACCGTCACATTGTTCCAGAAAGTTATTGTTCTGTTACAGTATGAATGAAACCGCTGTCTCATTTCTTCCAACAAATGACAGTTGTTCATAGTAAAACTTTTGTTTATTAAGTTCACAACGTTTCATCAGGTTTACCTGGCATCATTATTTTCACATGATGATGTCAGGTATGCCTGGTGAAACGTTGTGAATAAGGCAAACAAAAACTTTACTATGTAGAACCAACCGATAACAACTTGTGAGAATTAACAAAAAATAGTTCTTTGTAATATTTAATTAAGTGACAGTTGTATCAGGCTACATAACTTTCCACCACGTTGTTTCAAGAAATGTCAGTTGTTACTGAATATATTTCTATTTAACGAGTTAGCAATACTTCTGAATTCTTTAAATCGTTTTGGCTAGATTACGGAAAAAGAATTTATTATGAAAAGGAGTCGTCTATCCTGAAGACAGAAACTATTTTGTAACCAGTTTTACTTTTTGACATGCATCAGTGATATATAAAGTTTGCTGAAGGCAACATTGCTAATGAATCGGCACAAATGTCAGATTTCTGTGCAAGCAACTAGTTCGTGTAGAGACTGCTCATACATTTTTCAACAATACTGTTCTCGTCTAGGCTTTCCAGACTTCCTAGTATGAGATATCTAAATAATAAACTTTATCATTATGCCCTTAGAGCATACACGTAAATATCCTGTCATTCTTTTCGCTAATGACTTACTACTTATTCGAACAATGTTTACTCAGACCTCAACTTATTAGTAAGTAAGCTCTCTTTCATTCTTGCTTAGACCTTAAACTAATTGGAATAAACAACGACGTCACATTCTCTTGGGCATATTCAAGTATGCTTAAGTACGTAGCAAAAACCAATGATGAACAGGTTCTCCGAACAAAAGAGATCATATATATTAAGAAGCTGAGGCATGAGAGTAATTTTGTTGGAACAATTACTAAATTACTTTTATTTCCTGTGGTCGTTCAATAATGGTATATATTTCTTACGCCCTTGAAACATGTACACAAATGTTCTGTCACTGTCTTCGATACTGATCTTTATTATTACGCCCATAAAACATGTACATTATACATAAGTGTTCTGTCATTTGTCGATAATGATATTTATTATTACGCCCTTTGAATTTGTACGTAAGTGTCCCCTCACTCTCTTCGATATAATAAAATATTTGTATGATGCTAACAGTAACCAAGTGCTAATTTCTGAGCGTCTCAACAAAAGATGAGCTGCTACTCAGGTCAAAACATGTGCATCTTTTTCTGTTTTAGTGAATGTTATTGGAATACCTACTGTCTAGTTGAAAAGAACGCGAATAATCTACCTGATACGACGGGCGAAATCTCACTACAGGGCCTCTTTATCGTTGTTAATATAATCCACCTTATAGATAGTTCACAGTCTTTATCACAATCTTGTAACACTAACATTCCGGTTCGATCCCTGCGGTGAATACAACTCGGATAGACTGTTGTTTACTTTGTGCTAAAACGGTCGTTTGAAGCATCAGGTAATATTTTAAAGATTCATATCATATTAACATTTGTGACTTGACAATCTACGAGTCACGTAGTCGAAACCCTTCACCGAAAATACTTGTTTTTTTTTCAAACCTGGGGACATTATAATGTGTCAGTCAATCCCACTATTCATTGGAAAGGAGCAGCCTTGCATCTTCGAGACAGAATTCTATACATATTTTTGTTAGATCGTTTGTTGGCAAATGATTCAAAACAATATCCTGTTAGAAGGAAAAACCACTTTGTAGTTTTTTTCATGTTTTAAGAAAGTAATTACGAAACATTTCAATCTGTTCTGGAAACTAGTTTCTAGTTTCTTAGATCCTGTTCGTTTTTTCTCCTTTTATAGTTAACCGTGATGAAGATGGGCGTTTTTAGAAGTGAATTTTAGTATTATCGTCAGCTAACCTGTAATATTGGAAGAAGGAAATTATTGCATATGCTGTTGAAACTATAACTTTACTGTATTTTAAAGTTTATGATCATCTTGATACTGTGCCAAGAACGGAAAAAATATGTATATATTTGCCAAACGTTCACCTTGCTAGTTCAGGAAATTTACGTGTATATTGCTTTAATATATCTTGATTATTGCTAAAATGATTTGATTTTCCTTAAAGGATAGATCTTATGAAATAATTTGTTCCGTTAAGAATATTAGATGACTATTTTCCTTGAAGCTATTATATAATCAAATTACAAATTTAACTAGTCTGATTGAGTTCTAACTTCAGTTTATGAATGAGTAAACTCTATTTTATTACCAGCCTCATTTTCTCTCATTGGTGATATTCTGAGCTTATGTACTTTACTTGGATGTGGCTCTAAAGCCTTGTTGCCATACGGAACCGAGTTACAGTTTTAATGACTCAATAATTAATCTGCATCTTATGGTATCAAATTCATGTTCCTTTATCTAACAGCAAAATACACCTCATGGTATCAAATACATGTTCCTCTATCTAACAGCAAAATACACCTCATGGTATCAAATACATATTCCTCTATCTAACAGCAACATACACCTCATGGTATCAAATACATGTTCCTCTATCTAACAGCACATACACCTCATGGTATCAAATACATGTTCCTCTATCTAACAGCCACATACACCTCATGGTATCAAATACATATTCTTCTATCTAACAGCAAAATACACCTCATAGTATCAAATACATGTTCCTCTATCTAACAGCAAAATACACCTCATGGTATCAAATACATGTTCCTCTATATAACAGCAACATACACCTCATAGTATCAAATACATGTTCCTCTATCTAACAGCAACATACACCTTATGCTATCAAATCCATGTTTCTTTTCATACAACAATACCACACACCTCATGCTATCACATACACGTTCTTCTCTATCTAACAAACAGCAACATACAACAATACCTCTTTCTTTCCTGAAATTACGTTTTATTTAGTTGATTCTCATTATGTATATATTAATAAACCCACTTTAATGATGCCACGGTTACTTTCAGACAGACATCGTTTACCACTTCTAAGCGCTGAGGCTAATTTTCCATTAATCCTTTGCTTAGTACAGTTGCTTAATGTTAATTAAGAGTAAAAGCTGGAGATATAAATACTCTTATTCAAACATAGATGCATCTGTACTCATATATATGATTGTGTACATGTATTCCTGTATATGTGTATATATATATCCAAAAACGCTTGAACGAAGAAAACTTGAAATTCAGCTTAACTGAAGCAGTGGGTGATATCTCATGAATACAGCAACCTGACATTACTCGCATTGCATCTTTTTATTCAAGTGTTGGAAAACTGAATTTACATTCAACTTAGCTCATAATTCATCACATTCAAGTTTGTTCAGTGTAACGCATTGATGAGTCTTAAGTGAATTACGAGTCAAACCATGTAATCTCCCGTTTAACTCCCTGTACCCCAATAGCAGCCCCAACAGGGTACGTACCAGAAAAAAAAAAAACATCTTCGTTAGGACACCCTCTCGTAGCATCTGAGCACGTGGGCTAAATTTGGTCCCGCTTGCTTGTGAGAGGGGGTCTGAATACAGTTATATGAAAAAAGCCCCCGAGATTCTGAAATGAGCCAGGAACATACTGTTTGATACCAGGTTTGTGCGACCTTGAAAACCTACTCCTATAGTGTCTAGATGACCTTCCAGGAGCGTTTTAGCTCCCCTTGGCAGAAGGAATCTACCATACATACAAGGCCACCCTGATTTCGGCTGTTAAAGTTGGTCGTGATGGTTTCAAAACTGTAAGAGTAATTCACGAACAAAAAAACAAGTCATTTCATACGTAAAGACTTTGGATAGTGTGTTATTGATGTAAACATTGTAATCTTGGAGTCTAAAGCTTTGTTGGTGATAGAGCCCCTATAATAATATATTATTTCCTTTTCTATTTTACATTTATAATGAATGACTTTCAAAATTATTTTGGTTATTTGTTTATAATGACTGCCGTAATAGGCAAAAATATAGATCACATAATATCTGGAGGCAACCAGCAGTGATCAGTATTAAAACAAGTCAGTAATTTTTTTGGTGAAAATACATTTTAACACTCTTTGTTGAAAAATGTTATGTCATTTAATCGAACTACCATTATCAGAATTGAACTCATACTGAAATAAATTCCGTCTTATTTTTTTTCTCTTCAGGTATATTTAAGTACCAGGCGTGGTTGCTGGATTATTCACCGAGTCGGACCTGATGGTTTGCCATTCGATGCTACGTTTCTTAGACGTTACTGGAATATGATGTGGCAAAGTATTCCGTATAAACTGTTGTGTTATTTATCGGAGAGGTATATCAATAAACGGTTTAACCATGAGATTTACAACATTAAGCCTGATCACCGTATATTTGGACAACACCCAATGGTCAATGATTCTCTGCCCAATAGGATTTTGAGTGGAACTGTAATACTGAAAGGGAATATTAAAGAATTTACTCAGAATGGAGTGATTTTTGAAGGAGAGGAAAGAGAATATGAAGTGGATGTTGTAATTTTAGCCACAGGGTATAAAATTAAATTTCCATTTGTTGACAAAAAAATATTCTATTTTAAAGACAACAAAGTGGATCTTTACAAATATGTCGTTTCTCCCAAACTAAAGCACCCATCTCTTGCTTTCATAGCTTTAGCACAGACCGTTGGTGCATTATTTCCTGTTGGTGAAATTCAGGCCCGCTGGTTCGCCCTTTTAATGACAAAGAAAGTGGAGCTTCCACCTGTTAATAAGATGGTGGCTGATATCAAGAAAAAGCGTGACGATATGGCTAAAAAGTATTTTGAAAGTTCACGAAATACTATACAGGTTGACTGGATACCTTATATGGACGAGATCTCTTCACTCATTAGTGCTAAACCTAAGCTGTTCCATCTACTGCTAACTGACCCTATTTTACTTTGGCACTGCATATTTGGACCTTGTCTTCCCTACCAGTATCGATTGAACGGTCCTCATTCATGGGTTGGAGCCAGAAATGCCATTCTGACTTACGAAGATCGCATAATTGGAGCGCTAAAAACACGTAATTCAAGCAAGACCAAGGAACCGGTCCAATCTCAAGGGCTGTGGAAATTGCTGAAGATCATTTTATATATAATTCTGATAGTATTCATATTTTACATGATTTTCTAATTGAGGCAGGTCGAGATTAACAAACGAATAGAGCAAAATGATGAAGTGATTTTGCAATTGACTGAATCCATGAAAGAATGTAGAGGTATGAATATTGGATCGATTCAAAGAACATTATTTAAATATTTTGCATATTTATTATAAAGAGCATTTTACAATTATTTCAAGTTCTAAAAACTTCAAGAAAATTATCACTTGTGAACGAGAAACCTAAAAATTATACACAGTAACTAAACCTCATTGAAAACCTTAATATTAACTATTAACGCTCAGCAGAAGCAAAAATATACGAAAAACGAAAAAATGATTTGTTTATTGTTTGTTTATAATTATGCACAAAACTACACAAGGGCTATCTGTGCTCGGCCCACCACGGGTATCGAAATCCGGTTTCCAGCGTTGTACGTCCGCAGACATACCACTGTGTCAGTGGGAGGTCGAAAAAAAAAGAAATAATTTTATATTATTGCTATTATTATTTATTGTAATATAAGATTTTTTAAAGAAACTTAAGTTAACTTACTTTCTTTGAATTAAAAGTATAGTTAAACATATGTATGTACCATTTTTTTGAAAATAATTCCACTGTATATCAAATAAGTGAAAAGATATTGGAAATGGAAAAATTATTTAATTCTGTATTGAATTCAACGAAAATTTTCATCAGGACTATGTTTCTAATTTCTGTTAATAAAGTTTATTATGACTCTGATGAATTTGTATATGAATTCAAATACAAAATTGGATATATTTCTTATTTTCAACATTTTCCCCTCTTATTTCCATGATTTCTCTCAAAAGTAGAAATCATTTTGTGGTTTGTTCAGGCAAATATCATATTCAGAAACTCACTATTATAATTATCTTATAATTGTGAAGTTATAATTTACTAATATTGTATTTTGTAATATAAAATGTATACTTTATTACAATAAACATTTGCTTATTTCACTAACATACAAATACTTAATAATCGTTATATTATTGAAGTAAAAATGTACTTGTTAACAAAGAACTGGAATTATTTCTTAAAAAATATATTTCAAAATTCCAACGGTCAATTTTCCAGTATAAAGTAATTAATGTGTCCTTGGAGTCTTGGTCTGTAATAAAAAAATCCATCAATTTGTAGACAATGACAACTTAACAAATTGACGTAACTTTTCCAGCGTTTTGCCTGTGTTTGAGATCAACCAATAACAAGCTGTGTAATAGGAAAGAGAACTATAGGATAAATCAGAATAATTAAAATAAGACACAAGGCATGGATATGGCTACAGCAGAAATAAAACCAGAAGTAGGAGAGAGCAAAAGTAAGAATGAATGTAGCAACAAATATAGACTTAAAGGCTGCGGCAACTCCTGTAAGTCCCAGCCACATGAAACACACCTTCATAATAATTACTATCCCATTATTTTAAGGCACGTTAGAAGAAGATGTGAGGCATTTTTTAAATGTGGTAGAAGAAGAAGCACACATCTCATGCTTGACTGAATTACAGAAAGCAGACAAACTTTGTCTGAGAACATCAGACAAGGCAAACAGATTTATTACGGCATAATATTGATTGAGATTAACCCTAGATTTTAATTCATTAAGAAATATAATACTAATATGAAATGACAAACGTCATAATAAAACAAATAGGCATGTTAACACAGCAAAAGGGAAAGTCAGTAACAGTATTTGGGTACAAGTTACAAGGACTAGATAAAATACTGAAATGAGCATATGTACATTCAAATGACCTGGTTATTCAAAATATATCATAATGAAACTATGAGAAAGAATTAGGCAGTCACCAAATAAGATTAAATGTAAATGAAGCAACAACCACTCCAAAGGTAACACTGTTAAACAGAATAGAAGTAGCTAAGGAATAACTTAGAGAAAAAGGAGTGCATGAGCTCCAAAATTTCCAGATTAATATCGTAATAAGTAAATGAAGCAACAACCACTCCAAAGGTAACACTGTTAAACAGAATAGAAGTAGCTAAGGAATAACAGAGAAAAAGGAGTGCATGAGCTCCAATATTTCCAGATTAATATCGTAATAAAAATATACAGGACAGTACAGGAACACATCACAGGTTTGAGTGAGAGGAGTGCACTGGTGGTAATACAAATAAGGTAAAACATAAGATAGCGTTAAATAACAGGACACTTGTGGCACAGAGACCATATAGAGTACGCGAGAAAACAGAATATAAATAACAAATTATGTAAACGAGATATTAGAGCAAGGTATTATCAAAAATAATAGTAGCCCATTTGTTGCACCACTAGATGGAGGAGTAAGGTTCTGCTTAGATTTTCACAAACTGAACAGATTCACAGTAAAAGACGTGTATTTATTATTGCTCAACATGAGGTAAACATTAGACACGATAAGAAGAAGCAAGTTATTTTACTCTTTTTATATTGCAAAGGTTATTAAAGATGGATGGAAAGGATAAAGAAAAAACATCTTTCATCCTATCATCTAACGAATATCAGCCTCCTCCCCCAGTGGCACAGCGGTATGTCTGTGGACTTACAACGCTAGAATTCGGGTTTCGATACCCATGTTGGGCAGAGCACAGATAGCCCTTTGTGTAGCTTTGTGATTAATTACAAACAAACAACAACGAATATCAATTCAACTGGAAAACATTTAGATTATGTAATGCATTATCTACATTTAAAAGACTTTTAGACGTAGTTTAATCAGGATTACAAGATTCGGAGTATTTTTGCTATCTCTTTGCAGCTAGTTTTCAAGGAGAACATAAAACCTTATATTCATGTGATTAATGAACGGAAGATGTAGCAGTAAATTCATTAAGAAAGGAACCTGAGTGAACATTTGACTGAGATGTATTATACATAAAAATGACATGAGTTAAGACAAGTATACAACAACATCCAAAAGAACCATATGCTCACCACCATGAGTTAAAACAAATGTACAGTAACATCCAAAAGAACCACCACCAAATGAAGAAACTGGGCAAATTCAATTTTTAATAAGTTAGATTAGGATTGAATACAAGGAACTAGAAGAGCTAGACAGGCCAAAATTGGATAATTTGAATCTACCACAAAGATCATGTAGATACCATTGCTTTGGTGAGAGACAGTGTAGCTTCAGCAAAACCAAAAAAATGACAATTTATATTATTGGATAAAAACCATTGCGTTTAGAGATAATAATTATTCTTTAATAACAATAAGGGTATAATCAGTTTGAATTATATATATAGATATTGTTTTATAGGTTTCTTTAATTTATAGGGTGTTCATTGAGTACAGAGAAAATTGATAACATTATAAATGAATATCTTTTAAGAGCATATCATCATGGAACATTGATATAATATGAAGATTATCAGGTAATCAGAAATAGGTGGTTGAAGACTTTATTAATACAGTATTCGACGAGAGGAATGTTTATTTCTTTTATATTAAGGAGAAGTTTCCCTGAGGGAAGAGGGATGAAAGAAGCTGGGTGGAGAAGGAAAATAAAATATAAAAGACTAACTAAAGCTGGTAATAATTATATTTTTTACAATAGTCGCAATGTTCATATGTTGAGCAAAGGAACTTAGAAATTATAAACTACAAGTAAGAAAAGTATGGAGCTTCAAGTAATCTTAAGATGAGATATACATCACCTAATGCTATATAATATTGTATTAACTGTTCCTTGATGATTCTAATTGCTTAATTAAAAGTATGATTCAAAAGTAATTAGTAAATCTCTATAATCACTTAACTAAAAGTGTGCTTTGAAAGTTAATAAGTAAACCTAAAGTATGGAATGCTATGTTCATAGTTGGGTTAGGCTTTCCTTTATCATTAGTAGAGAGAAAAATGAGGTTTCTATATCATGTAATATTACATAGCAGCAAAACTGTTCGGAATTTCATCAAGATAAAAGTAGCCTACAGTGTTTCTCAAAGTTGGAGCTGCAACCCATCTGAGGGCCGCCAAAAAAGGGCCGAAACCTATTGATGCTGAATTAATTTTAGTTATAAATAAACAATAAGCCGTTAAAATTTATGTTGAATTAATTAAATGATACAATATGTCGAAAAGAAATGTTACTGTTTTTACTACGGCACTGTTTTTCAATCACCATGCTAAAGTTATAGGTTGGGGGCCTCAAACTTTTTGATTCACATCAAGGAAGCCTAAGACAAAAACAGTTTCGGAACCACTGGTATATATGGATATGGACTATTTAAAATCGTTTAGAGAGAGAGGGTTAGATGAAACTCAAAATTATTACAGTGTGGATAAAGAATATTAGCAATAGGCTTAGTACGAACGTTTGCTGTTCCTATAACAATCTACCAATGAAAAAATAGTGAATTAACTGCAGTATCAGATAATTGACCAATAAGAATCTATTTAGGATTGATTCTACAAGAATCAGGTCATATTAGAACCAAATCTGACTCCAGAAAATTTAGTTTAAAAACTGCTGTAACGAGAGTGAAGTAGGTGTTCCACAAGGGTTTCATGAGCAGTTGTTAACTAGTGAGACAATTCAAACTTGAAAGCCAGATTACCCAGCCTAGTTCTGTTCTGTTCATTGAAATGCCAACTCTCTTCTTCTTCGTTCATTCTACCTCCTTCCTGGATTGACAGAATTCTAATTTATTATATCATTGCTTTCAAGTAGTTGGTGAATGTGTTATGGAGTACAAGCTTTATATATATATATATTTATTTATTCGTACCATTCATAGATACAATAAATACAGTTACAGACATCAGTAGTTATACAGATAATTAATATGTACACAGGTGAGAAATAATAATATTTATATCTACTCTGTCGTCACCTCCTGATGTCTCCCTGAAGCGGATAAAGTCTCTAATAGCACTGTCTCTTGGGCCAGTCTGGGGATGTTGACATCGAAGAAATCTCGGTAAAGATTCCAGGTGAAGATTGCATTTACAACAAATTTGACTGATGAAATTCCCATCAGGAGATCCACTACCATTTACAGCCATTCTATAGCATAATCTGACTAGCTCGTTTTCGGACGAACGGCACGAGTTCATAAAGTTCACCAAACGCTTGTGCATTTGAAATTCTATGGGATGATCATCCACAATTCTAGGTCACAGTGAGTGTCATATAGCACCATGAAAATACAACAATGCATTTTCCCCACGCTCAATAAAAACTTTCGATTGTCTTATGATTAAAATCCCAAAGATTCGATCC